ATTGGAGCCCTATTATCGAAAACGTAAAATACAAAAGCTAACAACAACGACTCTTTCCAAGACAGATACGAATTTGCCAGATGTGCGCAGTGAGCAATGGCTACAGACCACCACAGGGTGTATGACGCCAAACTATCTGCCCAAGTACTCTTGCGACCCATTTCGCATCCAACTCTTGACAGCGATTTCGACAACGTGCAGCAGACTATCAATCCAGCGACAAGCTTGATTCCGGAGCCGTTCCTGAACGTACAGACCGCAGTTCTGTTGACCATTGCTCCCCAGTTAGAATTTTGCATCTGGCAAACTCCGAAGACTGCACTGTGAATCGATGCCATCAATCGGCGACGAAGCAAGAGGCCACCCCAGGATCTGAAGCACGACACTCGACATGCGGTGCCGTGGGCATATGTATATGGAATGTATGGGAGAAGGAAGGAGGCATGAATGGCAGAAGGCGCGACGTTGTTACTTTGGCCGCCAACATGATGCTGAGTGGGGCAGTGAGCCATACCTAACGCCCAAGCGGATTTTGACAGACAATACTGCATGCGGAAGCTAGGAAGGCAACCGAACATTCACTGTGGTGCATAGCATACAACCCTGTATCTCTTCGACATAAGCGATTCTTTCTCGTAGCAAGTGAAGTTCACACAGTCAGCAACCCCAAAGCACATCATAGCGAAGGGCAACATAGTAGATGAAATATCCAATTCATCGAGGATATCTAAGAAGAGAGACTGCAAGTCCTCAGCTATGATTTTGATAAAAAGCCGCCCGAAGGCGCGATCAAACCCAACGCCTCGCTCACACAGAGACTGAGACTGGTAAAAGCCCAACCAGACCCCCCATTGACCCCTATTAACGATGTCTCAAACTAACCACCCTTCGCTACACTTCTTAAAGTCCATATAATTTAGTCATGAAGCTCGCCCAGTTGAGTAGAGAATAATAAACGCCTGTCCATGCAATGTTTTGATCCACGCGACCAATTTTTGTGTGTAGATGACCCAACTCTTTCTCCAATGTTCACACAAGACTACACCGAGGCGTACAGTCCAAGACTTCAAATTTGTTCGACAAGTTGTGTTGCCCATTCTATTGGCCCCAACCATTTGTGCCAGCCATCGCCGGGTGCATCGGCATGTGTCCGCCGTTGCCGTACTTCTCCTGTATGCTCTGTAGCTGTTGTGCCGTTGTAGGTGTAGTACCCCAACGCTGCGGCTGTGGCGGTCCTTGGCCAGGAGGAACAGGGATGGCAGCGACGTCACGCAACAGAGCGACCAAGCCGTCAGCCTTGAAGCGCGTCTCCTTGTATGTGTGTGCAGGAGGAATGATGCCAAGGAGGAAATTGACTCCACGAGGCAGAGGTGGCGGACCTGGAGCCTGACCAACGGGTGTGGCACCGGTCGTGGCTAGGTTGCGGCGTGCAGCATCGAGACGGCGTCCTGCCGCACCCTTGAGAGGTGACTCGCCGCGAGCAAGCTTACGAGGTTGTGCAACGTCGTCCGCATCGTCTAGAGGGCGCTTCGGTGAGTTCGTAACAGGGACCAGGTTTCCAAGATGTGGGGAGTTTGCAATGCCGGGAGATTGAAGGCGCTGTTGCTCGGCTACAATTTGCGGTGGTATCGCAGGCATCGGCTGTTGTTGTTGCGGCGGCTGCTGCTGCTCCTCAATAGAAGGCATGACCGAAGGCATGACTGGCTTCATTTGTGTGCGAGGCGAGATTATATGGCGAACGGAGATGGGGTCGAAGGTCGAGCTCGCGAAGCGCTGCGAGAAGCGGTGCAGGTGAGGATCTTCGGGAAAGAGAGTCGCCATGCGCTGTTCGAGTTTTGTGATCTGAGCCAGCTCACCAAACTGGGCTTCGTAGTCGTGGAAGAAGGCGAAGAGCGATTTTGCCCTATGAACGGTCTCGGGCTTAGCCGTGAGCTTGCCAACGACGGTCTCGAAGACGGCACGAGCATCTATGTATGTTAGTTTTGGCCTTACAACACGAATTTGTGGACTTACTAGTAGAATCATTGAGCTTGATGAGGTGCTTGATGTATTCCAATGCGAATTGCTCATCCTCTGGGAATAGCTTCATGCCCCGCTCAAAGATCTTTTGTGCAGCCGGTTCCTGATAGCAATGATGCTCGATGAGTGCACTGGCGACGTAGGCTTCACTGAGCAGCTTGCCCTTCTTACGAGCCTCTGTGAAAATACCACGGAAGCCACCAACCTCGCCTCTAGGATCTCCCTTACCTTGAACACGGCGCATAGCCCGCATCAGAGCTATCCATGCGTACGTGAGTGTCTTCTTGAGGTTTTGTGTTTGCGCATTGTACCCGGCAGACATGGCCTGGAGTTGAAGGTTGAAGGCATCCTCCTTTTCTTTCAAGCGTCGCTGCTGCACAACCTCGTCTTCGTCGTCAGCGTCTTCGTTTTGCTGTGCGATTGCGCGAGCGGCATCGTCTGCAGCCTTCTGTGCCTCGAACTGCTCTTTCGCGCGGGAGATGGAATGCTCCTCTCGCTTCTTGACTTGCGCTGTCAGATCGTAGATGGTGTCTAAAAGCCTTTGGTATGGCTCCCGTACCGCCCTGCCCTTGGCAACGATGCCCGCCTGACCGTCTTCGAAGTCGGTGCGTTGCTCGACCTGGTTGGCCTTCTTAAAAGCTAAGAGACAACTCTCGGGGTTCGCGTCAATGCCGTCATTGAGGAATTTGTCGCCTTCAGCCTGCAGGTTGTTCTCGTAGCACCACTCGGCTGCTTCGTACCAGAGTTCCGGCCAGAAGCGGAGGGCCATGAGGGCATTCTTGTACAAATGAAGAACACGCTTGTTGTATAGCTCCCGATTGTCGGTCGCGCACTCGAGTGGGTCACTCTTCTCCCACTGAATCCAGTTGTGCCATAGCTTCACTTGATTCATGTACTCCTCGTAACCATCGAAGCCAGCAGCGGGTGGAAGTTTGGGTAAGGTGGTTCGGTTGACGCCCCTCGTGATGTTGTTGTCTAGGACGTTGATCGCGCTGCGTGCAGTCATGTAGGAAGGTGACGTCTCTTGGAGTTGTTTGCGACCCTGTCACTCGTGTTAGTATCGTGTATGTACCAGGCAAAACGTAACATGACTCACCGAAACCTTGTTCACGCTCATTTCGAACTTGTCGTATTCCCGCCAAATTTCTAGGGTAGCATTGTGTGGTACTGAGACGGCGCGCTGGTATACCTTACGCAGAGTATCCATCTTCTGCATGTCCTGCCAGCTGCTGCCACCAAGGACACCTGGACCAGTCTTCAGCATCTCGATGTAGTCAAGCCAAAGCTTGCCAGCATGAATATCGAGACCGACGGAGTTGAGCACGAACTCGTAAGCTTGTGTGACGGTCTGACGATTCTGGCCATTCTGATCAGTGGTGAGGTTGAAGCGACGGCGGATGAAGTCGATATAAGCAGAGTAGATGCCGAGATATTGGGCTGAGGGAATGGAGCGACCAAAGAGTTGCTCAACCCTTGGCAATTCATCAAGCTCAGTCTCAAAGGCAATGTACTCGACCCATTGCTCGCCCTAGACATGTTAGTACGTCACATGAGATATCGATGGACCTGCTTACTGATGAAGGAAAGACCTTGAGGAAACGCTCAAAGACAGCTCGTGCATCGTCGTGCTTGTGTCGCCTGCGGTGCTCCTCAATTAGACTCAACCACGCTTCGATGTCACCACGTGGATCTTCAGCAATGCGATCTTCAAGAATACCCACTCGGTCCTGAGGAAGACGAGCCTTTGGCAGAGAAGCAGACATAGGAGCTGGAGTAGCTGGAGCCACTGATGGGCGAGCTGAAGCAACAGTCATGACGTCTGGAGCACCTGGCTTAGTAGCGTCTGCAACAGGCGTACTGCCGTTAGGAAGAGAAGCAATAGAGGGAGCAGGCTCATTGACAGCGACAGAAGCAGAGATAGATGCGGGAGCCTGATCTTGTGCACTATGTAACTGTACATCTGGGTTGGGAATGGTATTTTTTGGAGAGTTTGTAAAAGATGGCTGGGGAGTCTCTGAAGCTCCAGTAGCATTCAGTGTAGCATTCGCCTCTTCTGGTTGCACAGCGGGCTCCTCTTCCTCGTCCTCGCTCTCGTCGACAAAACCACCCACAGTTCGCGGTCGCTTGGACTGCGGCGCTGCGGAGTCTTCTGCAGACGTCTGAGTAGGCTGGGGCTGCAGCCCATTCTCGCCCTCGGTATCGGCGGCCGGTGGTGAGTTTGCGCCAGACTCGGGCGGCATCGATGCCGACTGGTACGAATGCGGTGAGTATGTGGCGGCAGGGTCGTACTCGTCCTGTCCGGAGGGGGCGTCGTTCATGTTGTAGCCAGCGGAAGGGTCGTATTCGTCCTTTTGCGCTTCGAGGAAGGCGAGCTCAGCGTCGTCCGCCATGGCTGCGAGTGGGCGAGAGCTGTGATGAGCTGTCAGAACCGAGCGCGAAGTAGCAGTGGGCGTTTTATTACGATGTGCGCAGGCGTGCTTGTGTCGTAGACAATGCGTCTCTTTGTCGCGTGGTTAGTGTCTAGAAGGAGCGTTCCGAGGCGCGCGAGAAAGCGGAAGGCGTAGGGGCGGCCTTGACTGTAATTTCGGCAGGTGTAAAGGTCGCGCGAATAGCTTCCAAGATGCGCGCGGGTCGTTATGATGATGCGCCGTTCACCGTGGTTGGGTTGGGCGGGCGCGTTGTCCTGAGGTGACAAAGGTTGCGAGTCGGCATCGGCGTTGCGGGCTTGCTCTCGGCGGCGGCCTGTCAGCCTCGTCCTTGGCACTAGCGCTCAACGGCGATGTCATCGCCAGGTACCGAACACATAGTCAAACATTCACTGAACCACCGGACGATTCACGCGCTCCTCCCACGATGGAAGTTTGGGATTCCCGGTGACACAGACATCCCAGACGCGTATTCGAATTCCCCGGTTCCCAGCATTGCGCCTTCCTTCAGCAGCTGCCTACAGACGGCCTACCACATCGCATAGCCCATCCAACATGAACCCACACATATCGCTCCCAAGGCCAACAGGCGGCCCGTCAAACTTTGGATCGACCCTATCGTCACGGCGGAATGAGGTCAAGATGCCGCGTTTCTTCAAGCGCATGTTCAAGTTTCCACAGATGGACTTTGAGATGGCCATATGGGAGATCATGAGCCTAATAATAGCACCCAAGAAGGTGTTCCGACAAATCTACTATCATGTATGCATTCCTAATCTCTACTGCGTGTTGCGCCCAACTGACCATGTGTAGAAACAAACCACCAAGACATACCACCGCCCCGACCCATCATTCACATACCTACTCTCCTTCTTCCTCACTCTCACATCACTTGCGTGGGGCTTCGCATACGCCGATGGCTTTACACAGACCCTTCATATTACCATGGTCTTCATATTTGGGCACTTTTTGGTGCTATCACTGTTGATCGCAACGCTGTTCTTCTTCCTAGTCGGCCGGTTATTGGGTCCGGACAACACATTGCTACCTGGGCGACGGAGAGGACTATACAACTTGGGAGAAGACTCAGGCAAGGAAGAGCTGGAGTTTGGTTACTGCTGGGATGTCGCCATCAGAGCGTTTGTGCCAGTCTGGGTGTTTCTCTACGTTGTGCAGTTCATATGCATGCCATTGATTGGCACTCACCACTGGTAAGAGTCAAAACATTAACAGCTAGAACACATGCTAATAGTTCTAGGTTCTCACTGCTGCTTTCGAACACACTCTACCTGCTCGCGCTAAATTACTACTTCATCATCACGTTTTTGGGCTACAAGGAATTGCCCTTCCTACACCATACCGAGCTCCTTCTAGTTCCGGTAGCTGTTATGGCAATACTCTGGTTTGCGTCCCTCTTCGGTTTCAACATGTCGACACACTTCGCGCCAGTGTTATGGACCGGCGCCAAGTTGCGGAAACACGTCTGATGCTATGCGCAGGGGAGGAATGTAGGGGATGCACATGTAGAGGGAAATCAAAAACACGGCGCAACACGGCATTGATTGCACAAGGACTACTGGAATTAGGGTTGTCCAATGCCGGAATACAGATGATTCTAGCGAAGAAGTGAACCATCTTAGATACGTAGCGAGCGTGCACTGAATACCGTCCAATGCCATAACAATCAGCGTATCAATATATATACATTCATGGATCTACATATATATACACGATGAAGGGTAACTTTCAAGCCCCTCAACCACCGACCCCCAAACAGGCCATGTTATTATACACACATGAAGTTGCACTATTTTACAAGTTCCTCTTCTCAAACTTCTCCTCATAACACTGAATGCGATCACCAACCTTGAAGTCTTCCCAGCCTTCAAATCCGATACCACACTCGGTATCCTTGCGCATATGCTGCACATCTTTCTTCTGGTTCTTGAGCGACTCTATCACACCTGAACGTATCCGTTAGCACATGCCTTATTCCAAACTACGGCCTGTAAAAACTTACCATCGTGAACAACGGTTTCGCCACGGAGTACCCTGGCCTTGGTACCCCTGTCAACAATACCATTGCGAACCTTACTTCCGGCAACCTTCAGCTTTTTCTTGCCGCCGAGACTGATCTCAAAGACTGCTGCGATTTCCACTTCACCCGTGACCTTTTGGGTGACCTTTGGTGGGAGCTTCTCTGATAGCACATCTTTGACGTTTTCAACGACGCGGTAAATGATGTTACTGTCTAGGATCCTAACACCCTTCTCTTCCGCTAGTTTGGCTACATGGTTAGGGATTGTAGTATTGAAGTTGATGATGTGCCCCTTTGCGTCGGCGGCGTGCGAGATGTCGAATTCAGACGGCGCGCCGACACCGTGGCGGAGGATACGCGTTGATACTTCTGCGTTGCCGAGTGCCGAGACGGAGTCGATGACTGCTTCAACAGAGCCAGACACATCGCCCTTGATGATGAAAGAAACAACTTCGGGTCCAGCTTCTTTCTTCTCGGCGACTACAGCTTCCTCACCATTCTTGATGGCCTTAGCAGTGGCCTCTTCAGCCTCGCGACGTTCGGCCTCTGCACGGCGAGCTTCATTGATGGCCTCCATGTCACGCGCCATCTGCTCTCTGTCGACCTTTTCGCTGCGAAGCTCAGTCACTGAGCTAGCGTGCTGTTCATCCTCTGCCTGAAGCACCTCGTCGCCAGCGATGGGTTGGTCGCGCCAGCCGTCGATTTCGACAGCCATACCAGGTCCCACTTCCTTGACCACGGCACCAGCTTCGTTGCGTAAAGTACGTACGCGCGTCCAAGTAGTTCCTGCAACAAGCAATGTACCCTGGCGAAGAGTACCGCTACGAACTAGGACGGTAGCCACACGTCCAGATTTCTTGGTGGCACCCTCGAGAACCCACCCCTCGACTGCGGCTGCAGGATCGGCGCGGTGGTCCAACATCTCTGACAATGTTGAGATGGCTTCTTCCAAGTCCGGAATGCCCTGTCCAGTCTTTCCACTAACACAGACGGCTTGAATATCACCTCCGAAGTCCTCAATCTCAATACCATGACGACCGAGATCAAGCTTGACAGCATCAATGTCGGCTTGCGCTTTATCGATTTTGTTGATGGCGACAATCATAGGCACATTCGCCGCTTGGGCGTGCTTGATAGCCTCGACTGTCTGGGGCATGACGGAATCATCCGCAGCAACAACCAAAACCACAATGTCGGTCACGTTGGCTCCACGAGCGCGCATCGTTTCGAAAGCAGAATGGCCGGGCGTGTCGAGGAATGTGATCTTCTTCCCGTTTGCCAGAGGAACACTGAACGCGCCAATGTGCTGTGTGATGCCGCCGAATTCGGTAGCCGCCACACTGGTCGAACGCATGTAGTCGAGAATAGTCGTCTTGCCGTGATCAACATGGCCCATGATTGTGACAACAGGCGGCCGTGCAGGAAGCTCAGCGTAAACCTCAGGCTCTAGAGGCGGCGCAGGATAGAGGTCGCCATCATCTTCCTGTGACTGGAAAATTGGCTCGAAGTTGTACTCCTGCGCGATGAGACCGGCATGCTCCGCGTTTAAGATGTGGTCATTTTGAACATCCTCAAATCCAAGCTCTTCCAGTTTCTGCACAAAGTCTTCCACCTTTAGCCTCAGAGCGCCCGCCAGGTTGGCTACACTGATGTACTCGGGTAATGATATTGGTGTGGGCTCGTTCTTGGCAATTTGTGCTGCCTTCTTCGCCTCAGCTCGTAGTCGCTTACGTTCTTGCTTGCTGACCCGTGGCCCATCTTCATCCTCCTCTTCGTCCCGTTGTATGCGCCGGTTCCTGCCTTTGTTCCCGCCTTGTCGTCGCTGGGGCTCCTCGTATCGATTCTTGACTCCTCCTGTGTCGTCAAAGGCAAAGCGGCTTCGCCTTCTCTCGCTCTCCATGTCATTGCGCCGCCTGCTGTCTTCCTCTATCTGCACCTGCGCCGACCGCTCGATTTCTAGTTTGCCTTTAGACTTCTGCACCCACGCCTCTGCCGCATCGGATATCGATTCCTGGTAGCGGTGAGGTGGCGTGTATGTTGTCGTCTTCTGTTCCGATCGTCCTTGGGGCGGCCGCTCGCGAAGTGTCGGTTTCGTTGGGCAGGCGTTGCTCAGGTGCTCCTTCGACCCACAATGGAAACATGTTCTTTGCGCATTCATGTCCCTTGCAAGTGGTTGGTATGGCTTTCGATTTGTGGACGCATCACCCAGTAACCTAGATATCTCGTCTTGGTCCAGCATCTTGCTTTGCGGCGGAGGCCTAGAAACCTGTGGTGACCTTCGATCGTCTGCTGCGAAGGGTGCGCGTCCAGGCTGTGGTTCGTTTCGTCGTCTCAAGTGACCTGAGCCAAATGCTGGAGTGTGGACGGGCGGTCTTGAATCCATGTTAACAGTATAGCGATTCTGCGGTGGAGGTCTATAGTCATTCCCCCGGTCGTTCACCGTGTTCCTCCTGGCCCCAGGTCCAAAGCGGTCTCTGTTCTGATTCCGTGCCGGCCCATCGAAGACACCACCTCTGTTCATTGCCCGCCTTTCTGGCTGAGACTGCCGTGACATGTGTGACTGGGCATATGTAGGCGTTTGTGTTGCCAACGATGCTCTCATCCTCTCTGCCGGCGACATATGTCCTCCGTGTTGTTGCGGCGGAGGGGCATGGGGAGCGCTGGCTGCCAACGCTTGCCGCATACGCTGTGCTTGCGACATTGGTTCATCGCGCTCATTTGCATCTTTGTATATGATTCCCTCAGCCGACTGCGGGGTTCTGCTGGACGAGTTGAGCTCTCTCCGTTGCGTAGCGTTGGATGATGTAGCGAGCGTATTCGAGACGGCTAACTGACGAGTGGCGCAGAAGATGCAGATGTCGCGGGTTGAAGAAACCTGCCGCTGTTAGTCGAGACATGTTCAATCGCCAATTGACTTTTATTGATCCTCACCCGAAGTCCACGCGCTCTCCGCATATTGGGCGATGTGGTGCGTAATGGTTCCGAAGATTGTTGGAGTGCATCAAAAGTTTGGCCTCTGTCCCGCCGGCGGATCCTTGCCTTGCCCATCAATTACTAGCGTAGCGCCACGGCCTGCGGAGTTGCCACGCTCTACACGATTCATCCAATTCACTATTTGCCATGCCGAGTCTTGAAATTAGGATATCATTCATTCCAAGTCCAGCTGGACGTTGCATATAACCGAGAAAAGTAATTTGTAAATGTTTTTTCTTCGCGCACATCAAGATGCGCCAATAGACTATCTGCAGCTCCCTCAGCATTGCATCGAATGAGAGGCTTAGAAAATAAGCAGCCCATGATTGCGCCCCAACTCCCGCGTTGAACACATCTACTCCCTAGCCTCCTTCATTCGAAGCTTGACACCATCCGCCGGTGCAGTCGTCAAGCTCAACCCATTTCGAACGTATCCCATGCCACCCTTCTCTGTTGGCTCCCAAGTGTTCCCAACACCCTCAATGGCCTCAAATCTCTGCACCAGCCTGACAATGGCGTAACCAGCTTCTGTCAGAGCAAACTGCTGGCCGATGCAGATTCTTGGACCACCGTTGAAAGGGAGATACTCCCATCCACTCTTCCTGCCGTTCCAGCGCTCAGGTTTGAATTCGTCAGCATCGGCACCCCAAAGGTCTTTACGACGGTGCATGATGTATACACTGTAGTCTACCGGCGTGTCCTTCTTCACGTAGACACGTCCGGTGCCGTCTGGGCCGCCGCCGACAGGTAGAGTGGTATCTTTCAAGGCACGGCGACCATCGACAGGGACCACTGGGTAAAGACGCAGAGTCTCGTTCAGAACCCACTGCAGATAGTTGCACGACTTCAACCCTTCAAATGTTATCTCCTGTGGGTTGGAATAGGTACCAAACGACTCCAGGACAATGTTACGTAGGTTCTTGAAGACATCCTCGTGCTGTGACAGCACCATGAAGACATATGACAGTAGCGATGCTGTAGTATCACGACCGGCTAAGAGGATTGAGATGGATTGTTCTCGAAGCTCAATGGGGTCGCGGGTTGACTCTGCAAGCGCATCAAGGAAGACGTACTTCTGCTTGCCGTGTGACTTCTCCTGAGTGGTGCTCTTGTCTTTCGATAGTGCAAGCTGGACGAAATGGTCAATGAATGCGTGGCAGCGTCTGCAGTGTTCTTTGAACTCCTTGTTGTAGACGAGCCAGTAGGCCTCTTGCAATCGACCAGCTGTGGCGATGGTGCCTTGGGCCTTGTCGAATGAATTGGCAAAGTCTTGTTCGTTTACAGCCATTGGGGGTTTGCTGGACTTGTAGTCGGGCAGCGCGGCAAGCTGAGAATCGACACTTTCGCCAAAGAGGAATTCTGTGGCGCTATCGATGGTCAGACGGAAGAAGAGCGGCTTGAGGTCTGTAACGTCTGTCCAGCCGTCCGAGTTGGTGCGAATTACTCGCATCATATTCTGCACATGCTCCTCTTCGA